CATCTAGAGATGCCCTAATCATAAATTTTCTTACCTCAGCCCCAACCATGGTGGGGCTGAGGTAGGTGGTTCCTCGGTCTGTGAAAGTCCCTCCCTGGTTCACCTCTCTTTCGAATTCCTGAATCTGCCACTGTTGATTTATTATATAATTATTTTTGCGCTTATTTATAAATAATACGTCTATTGCAATTTTCACATTATCCTCTCAAACAATCCTAAAAACGTTCGGAGTGCGCTTCACAGAGGGATTCGCCCCCCCCCTTGACCCCGCCGGGGTCATACATAATTCGCATAACGGCTCCCCCCCTTTCAAAATCCTGGCTACGTCCCTGGCCCGCAGCAATGACCCCTAATAGTCAATTCCATAGCAGTAGAACCGTGGGACTGTTCCTATAAATAGTTCTAGAAGAAGCAGGTACTGGCACTAAATTGCGTTTATCCTGTCACTACGAATTTATTCCTCCATGCTCATGGCAACAACATGAGTTTGGTCTGGTTATAACACTGGGCGGCGTACAAAGGGTTAGCTATGCATAACTCGGCAGGCAGTAAGATCAATGACACGTACACTTTGATTCAGTCTGTATTTCCATAGCAGCAGAGCGTGGGAATGTTCCTATGAATAGTTCTAGAAAAAGCAATATACTGGCATTAAATTGCGTTTATCCCGTCAATATTCATGGCAAAAACATGAGTTTGGCCTGATTATAATACAGTATAAAGTGTATAGGAAATTTCAGTGGGTTTCGAGTCTTGGTATTCGACATTTCGGTTTTAAATTTTACAGAATAGCTCAATAACAAATAACAGGATATAGTATTAAAATTAATTCATAATAATGAATGAAACTTATGACAAAACATAGAAAAGAGACTTGTCGATAAATTACAGTACATCAAAATCACGAGATAAACCGACGCAAACAAGTAGAACATAAACGTCGGAAAACGAACCCTAATTCGCGAAATGGAATCGTCCAACATTTTTGATCAGTATCTTGAACCACTCGTCGGCAACGCGAAGAGATTTTAATCCCCAACCACGCGTTGTAGACGGGTATACGCGTTGCTTTATTTTGCGAGGCTCCCTTAGCATACGCTGATTTCACCCGACCGTTCCGTGTTCAGACTGATGCCAGTAGTACAGGATTAGGTTCAATACTGTTTCAAGAGGACGATAAGGGAAGACACCACGTAGTAGCATATGCATCACGTACATTGAGACCAGCAGAACAGAGTGGACGTTACAGTGCCTTCAAACCTGAACTGCTGGCCATTAGATGGGCAGTGACTGAGGTTTTCAAAGATTATTTGTTTGGACATAAATGTACTATTGTGACTGACCACCATCCCCTACTTTTTTTGGACAAGGCAAACTTAGGCTGTACTGAAATGAGAAAACTTATGACAAAACATAGAAAAGAGACTTGTCGATAAATTACAGTACATCAAAATCACGAGATAAACCGACGCAAACAAGTAGAACAAAAACGTCGGAAAACGAACCCTAATTCGCGAAATGGAATCGTCCAACATTTTTGATCAGTATCTTGAACCACTCGTCGGCAACGCGAAGAGAATTTAATCCCCAACCACGCGTTGTAGACGGGTATACGCGTTGCTTTATTTTGCGAGGCTCCCTTACAAGACTCTACTATAAGATAAATTTAAAGAATAAGAATACTAAGCTGTATGCGATAAATACAACAGCCTTAGAAAATTGCTTGATCCTACATACACGTACGCATGTTGAATTTTTTTTCTAAGACTCTAAAATCGAATACCAGTAAATAAGGCTTTGAAACCCCTAAACGGTTAGTCTTCTTTCTTTTCCAAAAGATTTTGAGTGATACCTGACCATGCCTACTTTGGGAACATCACCTGCCCGCACCCGCACCCCCACCTGTGACATCACACCACCCATTGGGCAAATTGTGGCAAAACCCTTATATTATAGTCAAGTTCTGAGGAAACCAAAGGAGCCATTATTTAAAGGTCATTCAGAATACGATAAATACAGCAAATACCAAAACAATCATAGCACTACTCACAAGTTTGTAAGCCTTCAAGAGACCCTTTATAAAATCTACCTTCTGTCCATATTCAATTAATTTTTCTTTCGCAGGTACACTGAAAAATAAAAAATAAAACTAAAATTAATCCTTTTACACTACTCAGTAAAAGCATAGCTCCCTGTGGTGCAATTTTTCTCCACTATAAAATGTTATAATATTTGAATTCTGAAAATTTATAAGCATTTGAATTTGTATAAAGGATGAGTTTTATGGTTGGGGAAGGGGGTAATGTTCCCATGTCTTCTCCTCTCATCCACTGACCAGTGACATATCCTAGTCTCAAAATAAGTTAATTTGAGGTGCTCTATAACTACTTGAGTGCTTTTTTGGGGGGGATGAAAGTGGGGGAGGGCGCGAATAATTTTAGGTAATCCCTCTCCACACGTTCACACCCGCTAGATACACCAATGCCTCTGTTGAGGAGAAAAATAAATATTCTATAGTAATCAAATAACCTCATCATAGCAAAAAAAATTAACTTTTTACGGCTCTTTTAAGTCTGGAAAGGACTTAGCAGAAGAGCTGTAAAAAAAGTTAACAATTTAGCTGTAGGTGCATTATTGTTATAGTTAATACCTGACATATCCTTATGTTAAAAGATTTTTTATGAATTTCGGCATTTTCTATCTGAAGTTGATAGTTACCGACAAAAACATTTTCCTGGATTGGTAGTGTTGCCTAGTTAAGTCCACAAGACAGAAAACCCTGTGTATACTGTTCATCAATGAGGTGAATGGAAATCAAACACTGACCCCGGTATTTTTAAACAAACTTTAGTCGTAGTTTGAGCTAAAACTTAAAAATTACGTCATTTCGTATTCTTAAAACGAACTTCGACTAGCACTACGCTTAAATGACACGAACCTCGACTAAAATGACACCTCCGCAGGCCGAATTTTTTAGTCAGCATAGGGTCAGGCTAAATCGCCGACTTGAAATATTTACCCCTACTAAAGACGTGTTTTTGTAACTAACGATAAAGTGAAACGAATAAAAACGATTGTATACGTAGGTTTGATATATCTTCGGTGTGTTAAACAAAAGAGACATCAAGTTTAGCTTCCAAAAGGAGAAATTAACATGTTTTCCTAGCTGCATACGATAGTTCCTGATTTGCACATAATCCCCTCGCGTTGCAATCACCTAGCTTCACCATAACAACAACAAAGATGGCGCCACCCTCGCTCGGGCTCAACTATAATACTGTAGTTCTCCAAAGAAAGCAAATTTTCAGTAACTGTTAAAATTCTTTATCATAATATGTTAACAACTAATATAGTTATTATTATAAAAAATTAATTAAGCGAATGATGGTCTATTATGAATTATGAGGAAATTTCGTCTGCTATTAAAGTTAGCTCTTTTCATTGGTTAGTTTGGTAGTCGTGGCTTGCCAGTCGTCTTCAGTTGAACTAAAACTAGGACTTGATTAGTCGTAGTTAAAACTTGATTACGTTGTTTGTGAATACAAATTGAAGTTGAAGTTGCAACTAGCACTAAATTAAGTTCTAGTTCGAAGTTTGACTAAAGTTTGTTTTAAGAATACGGGCGTAAACCCCTAGATTTCTATGCAAGTTTCTATGAGGATAAAAATGTTAGAATGTCATTTTATAACGAAAATCTAAATAATAATGAACATGGAAAAGTTCTTTCCCATGTTTCCCATCACAGAAACCAGATGAAACTATTTGAAAAATTTATTGTAACTTAAAGTAAAAAAAGCGCTTAACATCAAGATGAAACTTATGCAATTTAGACATTAAAATCACAGATACAAGTCAAAACAATATACAAGATCATTATTGAAAATTAGTGTTCCTAGCTAACAGGTGACCGACATCAAGATTAGTTATTATGTGTACAGTTAGGTGAATAAAAATTTTACCGTCTAGAAAATTGATACCAAAATCAAATGATTAATTGTTATTAGTTACACAGGGACCAGCTGCGTTGAAGACGTTGTTTGGGTTATTTTTGCTCAAAATTCTGTCAATACAGACTAATCCTGCAAAAATAGAGTTTCTGGTCACTTTTACAGCAAATGCTGCATTAAATCAAATAAAAACATTAATGCTCTGGACAGTTTGAAGAAATCTGGGACTAGCTGTTACCCAAAATATGTGTTTTTACGTGTTGATTTAAACAAAGAAAAACTTTGTTATTACCTAGTCTAAACCAACGTAATTTTTCTCAAAAAAATCAGGTTTCTACTCCAAAAATCATGAAAGTATACCTAATGGTCATACGGTAAGTAGCTTTCGAGAAGAAATATGATTGGCTTTGAGATGAGGTTAACACATCTATATTTGGGCACCTTCCCTTTGGAATATATCACAGATACAGTATAGATTTTTTGCTATTTTCATTAAAATTTATTATTCTCGGCAAGCATACAGTATGGTTTTACTATTTCTTTTTTGTCATACTACGATCATAAAATTAGTCAAATTCTGAGAGGAAATGGTTGAAATACCTGTTCATTTAGTATAATGATAAAAAGAAATAAAAACAAAAAAACGTCAATATTTTGTGTTTTTTTCTCTAAAATGTACCTAAAACAAACAAGGTACGAATGGATAGACAATTTCATAAGTTTTCATATGATTTGCAACATAATTGTATGATATATTAAACGTTTTATATCCCCGGTTATGACTTCATAGTAAAAAAGACCTAAAATGACATTTATTGACCTCTGACCTGTTAATCCAGCAGTTGTCTCGTCAGATGGGAAGTTCCAAGAGCCCCATGGAATGACCTTTCCAAAAAATACCCACTAAACATGTGGTCATTTCAAAAAAGTAGATGGCTCCTGGTTCTCGAATGACTGTATGAGCATTTTGAAGTTATATTTTATAGAGCATAAAATTCATGAATTCTGATTATACACTTAAAGCTGGTACAGTGACTTTTAGTTTTCTAAGTGGCCAGGAGATAAAACATCACTTATGTCAGGAAGCAGAAGCTTAGCTACTACAGCCACATACACATAGTAAGGCGTGAGGGGATGCAAAAAAGAATTCTTGGGGCACACATTCCAGGCAAGAGAAGCAGAGGACGGCCAAGATGTAGATGGGATAAAATGGTGAAAGAGGCTTTTGGTTCGATGGACTAAGGCAACAAGGATTGCACAGAATAGAAATTTGTATAATGTTGCTGTGAGAGAAGCTACGCTCTAATAAGAGTACGCTTTGATGACCACGGCGATGGGGAATTTTATTATTTCCATAATTTTTAAGAAAGTATCTATTCTTGTGAAAATTATGGGGAAAATGCAGTTACCATACAAAATCAAACCTAACATTTAAAAGAAAATTTATGTTTGTAACTTTCTTATTGGAATGACTCAAAAAAATTATAATTCACCGAAATATTTTATTTATATTATCATCATGAAATCATAAAACAGGGTTCACAAAAATCTCATCTAGAGAAATTAATTAATACCAAAATACATTATGATTGCATTCTATATGTATGTATGTATGTATACTGGAATCAAATATATTAAAATCAAATCACTTACTGAATAGATTTCTTTAAGTCTGCATATCTTTGGTCAAGTGCACTCACATACTATAAAAATGACAAAAATAAGTAATAAACTCAGGTTTGATTTGCCAATTTTCAAATCTATTAACCTTAAACTAAACTAACCTTCCCATCAGTCTATGAATAATGAGATATTGGATTGGATTGGATTAAACGCCAAGGATAGCCCATGAACGTCTAGAAGAAGACTTATTGCCAGTGGAGTCCTGGTGGTGGGAAGTACACCGGGAGACAATCCCCTACTCTTTTCCAAAGAGTATACTGCATGCGTAAATGCACACGAGACCAACATAAACAGTAAATAATATCTTTCCTTGATGCTCTTATTACAGTTAATACTGAAGGCAGCTTGTCTACCTGTAATTAGGAAACTAAACACACACAGACTAGTGCCTCCAATTCACTTCATTCAAACCATGATAGGTGTGAAGCACTCTGCATGACAGACGAAAAAAGAATTTGTCCATATAAATTTGTACACTGAGCAACTGTGGTTACCCAAAATGGGCAATGGATAGGTTCAAACAAATAGGAGGGACAGGGAAAAGAAGAAACAACAGAAAGAACCCACAATTACAGATAATGTCGGCCTAGTTTATGCCAGTGTACGTAGTACCAGTGCAAATATATAGGAATTTGGGTCAACCCCGATTTTACTAATGCCCGCAATTACGAATGGCTCTGGGCCTGTGCCGTACGTAAATGAGGGGTTCTACTGTATTTGGTCATATATTGAGATTAAGGTAGGCCTAAGCCTAGGCCCTATATATAGGTGAAAGCCTAATTTTCAGAAATCTGCGTGGAAATTTAAGAATGGTATCACCAAGATGAAACCTGGTGGAAAACTTGGGCGCTAATGCACTTTCGCACCTAACTTTTAATTCTTAATTTTTTTTTTATCCTAATGGATAGGTTCAAACAAATAGGAGGGACAGGGAAAAGAAGAAACAACAGAAAGAACCCACAATTACAGATAATGAGAAGAAAGAAAAATGCTGATCAAAGTTGGAATACCATTAAGAACACGTTTTTATAAAGAACACTAAGGTTGAAATTGCTTAAAAAATTAAGAACAAAATAAGAACAAATTGAGGCTGAGGTAAAATGTCAGATGAGGTTGTTGAAAAACCAAAAAATTATATCTGTACCTTATGTGCAGTAATGTAGGTGTGACTATGTAATACCCCCTATAATTAGGTGTACATTCATTTGGAGCCATTTTTACCAGGCCTTTTTTCTGGGACAATTTTTTCAGGGCCCATTTTTGCTGTACAAGATAATAATTTTCTATGTTTGAAAAGTGTGTAAAATAAGAACAAATTAAGAACATTTTGAGCCTGAAATTGGTCAAAAAATAAGAACACTGAGCCAGAGAAAAATTTTACTGGTTGTTATGTCCACGGCATCACCGAAAGAATCTCTAGACCTCTGAGACAACACAAAATCAATTGTTTCCTGCATGAAACCCAATAAGATGTTAAAAGAAATGTTAGTCAATCCCAAGGATAAGATTGCTAAGAAGCAGACGTTCCACCCCCCCCCCCCACCTTAAAATTCGGGACACAGGAGAATTGGCAGGTGAATGTCAACCCCATTCCCACCATTTAGTGAAAAGAGTCCTCAACGTCAATATATTCTGCATTAACATCTTTCGAGGTGTATAAATGTTTATAATTGAGTTTTCCATCCATGTGGCATCTATTTTTTACCGTGCGATTTCCGCACAGATTTTGCCGAAAATTAGGCCAAATCTTAACCAATGCAATTATGCAGCAATTACGATTCCAAGCACCTATTTTCCTAGTGATTTTTCGTCCAAATTTGAGCTGATTGTTTAGGTATCCTCTGGCGCTGCGCAATTAAAAAACCTTTAGAGTACTGCCTATAGCCTAGGCCTACTGTATATAGCCTATACAGTAGAAACCCTCAATTACGAACCCCGGTGAATTCCCGATTTTATGAACGTAAAATCAAGGTGATGACGTCATAAAAAGAGAAGCGAAAAATAATTAAAAAAAAAAAAAAATCCGCTCGAATTGTAACCTTGTTATTAGCATGCATACAACACAACATACCGTACAGTACTATGTAATTCTCAAGTGAAGGAGGCCCTCTAACGGGCCTCTTCAAATTCAGTGTTTTTTATGGCTTCACACACGAGCATGCAACAAATTTTATTCTCTTTCAGACATCGTTTTCAGCTTTAAAAGTCAACATAGTGCTTGATTGTTTTATTAAATGGTCAATATATATAATAAACAAGTATGTATGGAAGTTGTGTTGGGAGTAAAATCCACAATCTAGGTATTTAAGAAGGTAAAAACGTCCAATAAAAACAAATTTCTGTAGGGCCTAGAGTGGGATCAGAATGCTTAGAAGCTGCCTACTGTAGGAGGCCCCTCAGACTTAGTTGCGTAGACCTGTGGGCCTAGCGTCGGCCTAGTTTATGCCAGTGTACATAGTACCAGTGCAAATGTATAGGAATTTGGGTCAACCACGATTTTACGAATGCCCGCAATTACGAATGGCTCTGGGCCCGTGCCGTACGTAAATGAGGGGTTCTACTGTATA